ATGCACGGGGCTGTGTGGGGGCTGTTAGCACTGGAGCAAATTTCATTTGCAACAGAAAGAGTAACCTAGGAATTAGTGCTCTAGAGGGCTTTTTAACTTTCAAGATTTGTTTTATTTTGTGAAGTTAGTTTGACTGCATTAAAGCCAGAAACACAGAACTCAACAAGGGCTCCTCAACTGTTCTGAACATCTCATCTTGGTTTCACACCAGAAGCCAAGGGGAGCTTGCAGTGTCTAACTCTGCCTGTCTGAAAGGAAGCCTCTAAACCTGTTTGACTCCCTGGTTTAAAACTGATTCAGATAATCTCAATGCACTCCTTTGCCATTCATCTATACTATGTGGATGACACCAAAGTGGGGGAGCGGGCAATACACTGCAAGGCAGGGCTGCTTTTCAGAGGGACCAGGTCTGATGGGAACCTCATGAAGTTCAACAAAAGCAAATGCAAGTCCTGCGCCCAGAGTGGGATAATCCCGAGCACAGGCACAGGTCATGGGACGACTGGGGTCCTGGTGGACAACAAGTTGACCATGGGCCAGCAATGTACACTACACAGCAAAGAAGGCCAACAGTGGGTCCAGGGAAGTCATCCTTCCCCCTTATATGATACTTGTGAGACCACATCTAGAGCAATGCCTGTCCAGAGTTGGGCTCCCCACTGCAAGAAAGGCATGGACTTACTGGAGGAAGCCCAGCAGCGGGCCACTAAAGAAGGTCAGGGCTAGAGCACCCATTGCATTGAGGAGAGGCTGAGTGAGCTGTGTCTGTGCAGCCTGGAGAAGAGAAGGCTCAGGGGTGACTTCAGTTCTGCCTGCAACTACCTGGTTGGAAGATACAGAGAAGCCAGAGCCAAACTCTTCTGAGTGACAGGACAAGAGGCAACAGATGCAAGTAGGAACATGGGAAATTCTGATTAGATATAAGGAGAAATATTTTTCACCACGAGGGTGGTCAAACACTGGAACAGGTTGCACAGAAAGGTTGTGGCATCTCTGTCCTTGGAGGTGTTCAAGATTCAGCTGGACACAGCCCTGAGCAACCTCACCCAATTAGACTTGTTCTGAGCAGCGGGCTTGACCAAATGATCTCCAGAGGTCCGTTCCAACCTAAGTTATTTTTTTAATCTGCTGTAAATTTGACACTGCCAGAGTTTGGTTTTTTTAATAAACAGGCTACAATGTGTATGTGATACTGACGGACAACTATAGCACTTCATGCAACGCAGAGTATGCTAACCAGAAACCATCCAGAAAGCCAGATGCAGTATCACTGAACATTGTTTGCTTCTTTGAATGGAAGGGAGGAACGTTTCACTCTCCGAAAGATCTTAAATCTCAATACACGTAATAGCTATCTGATGTTTTTCAGCATCTTCAGACAGTTACACAAGCCTGTGTCAGCACATTCACATACATACATATCCAGAAGCCTCTACTGGACAGGGCAAACAGTCCTCCTTCCTCTGAATAGATGGGTTTGCTAAACTTGGACTAAATCACGGCAACAAACGCAGAGGACACCTTGTGTGTTACTCTACATTCAAAAGAGAATCAGTCCTTCGAATAAACTCAAGATTTCAGTGGACATTGTTTCTAGGCATTTCACTTTCCCCTTGAAAATGCAGCCATAACACCCTCAAAGCACGTAAGAGTTATGAGGCTTTTTTCCATAAGAAATAGCGTACTGAATATTGGAGTGCTTTAGGTATGGATAGATACAGTACCGCAAATAACAAGTTCTCTCCCATTCTTCCTGCAACAGAAATCCAAGATAAATATTTACTTCAAATGTTCGTAATATTTTATTTCTTGTGTCTTTACAGAATATCCCACAGGCTATAAATTTGTGAGGTATTCTGAATGATATTTATCTCAGTTTTTCAAACTGTATTTCAACAAAACTGAATCTATATAAAGGAGTTAAATATTTATACAATGGGAAACTTCAAAACAAAACACAAGAAAGCAGCATCAGGCTGCTCTGTGTCACTGATCACAGACCACGAAAGCAGAGAAGGAGATTTGTCACTTTTAGGTAGGCCATCTTTTGGGTCTATTTTAACTAAGAAATCTCTTGGCATTGTTCAATTATCTACTCTCCAATATTTATATTAGGCAAGAAAATGATGACATACAACTTTATTTTAGGATATGTAAACAAAACCAGAGGCTTATTCAGCCATTACCCTGCAACGCTTCCTGAGAACATTTCTCTTCTGGCACATAGCTGTCTTCATTATGTGCAAACAGAAAATGGAAACATCCTTTTTCATCTAGGACTTCCACAGAAAAAAACTTTAAAATTCCACCCTGTGGTCCTCAAAACAGATTTTTACTCAAGCTTAAATCACAAGCAATGGATGCTTAAATAGAGAGCTTATTTACAGGGAATAATGAGAGGCAGATTCCCACATGGGAATAGCAAACGCATCCTTCCAAAATCCTGGAGTTCCCCTTTCTCAGCACTCCAGAGGAGGTGAAAGCTAACATCCGCCATCAGATTTCCACGCTACGAGCAGGGGTGGGTATAAGGAACTCAGCAGAATTCAACTGGGAATTCCCCATGCCAGACAGTTTCGTTACACGTCTCAGTACAAGTAGTGCTGTTACTGGACATGCCTTAAGTGTTGCAGATCTGGCTCTTCCTGAATTGCACCATGCACTGAAGCCTCTGCAAAGAGGACAGAAAATGCTTTTACAGCTTAACCGTTTATCCCCTCTCTGCCATACGTTTAAAAATCAAAACACTCTTCATAATGTCTCATAGCACAGCCAGAAAGTAATAGCTGCCTGTAACATTCTGCAGATTTTCATTTATTACCTAGATTATACTAGCATTTAGTATCTGCCCTATATACATTTATATGAAAGGATAATTTGAAGAACCAGGTAGAAAACATAAATAAAGACAAAGTTGTAGGAAGGGGGAGCTTGAAATCTCTGCCTCGTTCCCATCTGGTCATCTCACAAGTCACCTCATGCCCCAGCATGGCTGATGATCTCCGCTAAATTGATGGATGATCCAGGAAAGGTCCTGGCAAAGGGGGTTGGACTAGTGTTTTAGGGGAGACATTCATATAGGATCTGTTGCGCAGCATGTGCTTTACGTATCTGCTAATCCCTCCACCATGAACTCTACCTACTTTTTAGCAGTTTTTTTAAAGCTGAATAGGGAGATGAGGACACCCAGTTTCCATTATAATTAATACTATTGGTATGTTCAGATGCACTAGGTTATTTTAGAAGCCTAAAAAAATGTCTAGAAAATGCGAGCAAATGGATGTGGGAAAAGGGCAGGTGGAACCTGAGCTCTTTCTTTTAATGAGTTTAGCACAAGCATCACACATCTTTAACATGCTGCAATATATAGCACCACAGAAGGATGCAGAGCACATATAGTCCAACAGGACATGCAATATCGTAACTATCACATTAGAAAAAACACAACATATTACACACAAAACAAACAGCAGTTCTAAGAGATTTTCCCACTCCTTCTCCTTTGTGCTTTGCCAGTGCAACAAATCCAGTTCCTACCCATCTGCTGGGTCATAAGAGCCCATCAACAGGCCATATTTAAGCGTTATTGACATGGGATATTCTAGTGCTGCTTCTGGCTTACATCCTTTTGTATTAATATTTTATATTTAAAAAAAAAAAATCACAGAAAATAATAACTAAGGCAAACATGATGGATTAAAAGGACAATATGTATTTTTAAATAGCATTGCCACCTAAGATTAATTTCAATCAACCACATCTGATGAATAATACAAAGACCTTCCATTTCTCTTGTAATAAGACTGTCTTTACCATTTTCCTTTTTTGTGAGTATTTCCAGTAAAGCACTCACCTACTTTCTATTTAAGAATTACTCAGCTGCCATATTCTAACCCCAAACCATCAGGTTTACTTGTAATATCATTCTGATAACTTCTCCACTACCAAACGGACCAGGCAAAACTTCAGCAATCCACTTAGTATCTGTCATATAAACTCGACACACATCAGAACCAGAGAGATCAAGTATGTTTTGATAAGACAGTGTCACTTTGTAACCAGCCCAACACTAAAGCCCGATCTGCTCTAAAAGATTTACCAGAGACCTATTACCAGCGAAACAGATGCAGTTTACATCAGCAAAAATGTACTTTTACTGCTGTAGTTTATGCAGTTCTGTCAGCAAATAACACACTATCCCCACAAAAACAAGGTTTTTGCTGGTGCAAAATAGTAATGCAATAGAGATATTTTACTTTTTTCAATTGTACCCCTAGTAGATCTTATCATATTGGCAAAGCTTCTTGTGTAGATCTAAGTTCAGTCTTTAGATAGGGCTAGTCAAATTAATTTGCATTATTATGATCGTCTGCTATTCTCCCTGCTAAAGGCTGACACTCTAAATAACGAGTGAAATTATGAGCTGATTAACTTGTTTTCTTGCTCAGCAGAGTAACCATACAGGGATGTAAGCCAGCTTTCCCCTCAAATCCAGACCCACCCGCTCTGCAATGGGATGAACCTTCTGCTGCTCTGAGCATCTCAGAGTTAGGTGCTTATGCCTAAACTACGCATCGACCTTCCATACAGCTAATGAGGAGAAGTGGGAATTTGCAGACAGGGGTTTGCTGGATCTGTGTTATTTATTAGATCTCCATCAGATGCCTGTCTTTGAACAACATGGCTTGCTCCACTGGAAAGGCTTACACCTCTCCATTGAGATGGGAGTCTCAGGTGACTAGTTGGGTTTAGGCACTTCATTTTTTGATGCCTGATTTGGAACAAGTGAATTCCCTCCAGCTGAAACACAACTGTAAACAGCACCTGAACTGATGTGGCAGACAGCATAAGGATATCCAAACTAAGCCTCACCTTTGTGCCGGCACTTTGGACCGGCAATAAGAAATAATGCCATTCCTTCACCAGTTGGCAGAAAAAACTACTTTGGTGGTGTGTGGACAGAGACCGACAATTTCCTTGGTGCCAGTTCTGCATTCAACTTACTTGAGCAGGTTGCCGAGATTGAAGAGAGCTCGATTGTGCTGAGGGTTTAACTGAAGGGCCCGCCTGTAGTAGTCCTTTGCCTCCACCACATCTTTGGTCAACGTCCCCAGGTTGTTGAGAGCACTTGCATGACGAGGGTACAGTCTAGGAAAAATGAAGTATCAAGTTACAGACACTCATTAATTGACGAATAAAGCTGAGGTCACTAATGCTGCCACCACTGCTGTCTGGCACTCGGTAAAGCGAAGGATGTCAGCTAGGAAACACCATTTTCCCTTCATTTGCTGCAGGTCCTGATGGGATCCTGAGGAACCTTTTCAACTCCCAAAGAGATTGCAAATCAGATCTTCTCCTACGGTTCCTGTATGCCTTCAAGGCAAAAGGGAACACTGAACAGCTTTGAAAGTCTATTTTACCCTCCAAGCAAAAGGCAAAGTGACTAAAGCAGCTTGAATGTCTTTATTCAAAATGTTTTTCAAACAAGCAAGAACTGCTTTGTCAAAAATATGTTTCCAATGGAAATATGTTTTGACATATACAGAAACCAACACAACACTGCTTAAATTGATCTGTTTTGTTTTTTTTTAAACCAGTTTTCCACAATAAAAGTGATAATAAAGTGCAAAAGGAAACTTGAAATCAGCTGTTGAACAATGTTTTCAGGACCAAGCAAAATGACAAAAAAAATCTGGAAACAGACTGCTTAACAGTATGAATTCCCTAAGCTTCTAGTTGTATTTTTTTACCACTTGGTTCGGTTCTCCTTTTAACTGATCTGTTGATCTTTACATCTACCCGTTTCAGTTATAACACTACATAGTGGGCCCAGTGCATCTCTGTTAAAATTCTCCATGAATTAAGAAGCACGTCATGGTCCATTCAGCTGCTCAAATCCTCAGAGTTGTGCTCCTACATTAATATTTTGGTTCGTAGGTCTTTCACCAGAAAACTCCAGAGGTGAAAGTGATCCAGGGCAAGATTTAGCACCCAGGACCCTTTGTGTTATAGATGGGTGAAAACTGAGGTTCATTATGATAAAGAAATAAGTCTATGACAGTAGCCCACAGAGGTCCCAGGCAAGCTGGGAGACCAGATGTGTGAGTATGTCTGATGCTCTGGTATAAAATGGTGCACAGGTGCTTGCCCACTGAACTCCTCCAGATGATCATTTCATTCGTGATAGCGAGGAAGCAGGTTAAGATGGTCAAGGCTCTGGTCTGAGAAGATCTGGCTGCAAATCCTGCTGCCACTACAGATTTTCTATTTTGGACCAGGACAAGTCATCTGACATTTCTTTGCCTTAGGTCCCCGTTCATGGTAAAGTGATGTGGATAATGACATTAAAAGTAGTTGGCTATGATAGCCCAGGGTACGGCATGAGGAGGGGCATTTAAAGGAAGAAGAAGGGATTAAGACTCCATAATACAGTCTGACTCTAAAGTTTGCAACTGTTTTTAATCTAAGACTTTCCGTGGTGGGTTTTTTTTGCCTGGAGTTTTTCATTATGTCAGTTCAGCTCTGGGATTTTCTGTGCTTAAGTACCATGAATAATTTAGCATTTTATACACTGCTGCAACATTTGTATCAGTCACATTTTCGCTCCACCACACATAAGTGATTCTGGCAGGGTCTTACTTGGGGGGTGAAGCTGGGAACACACGAGGGAACTCTGGGAGGAGTGGATGTGCACCAGTAACAAACCCAGGATGCTTCCTACAACTAAATAAGAGAAGAGTCCGAAAATCCTTTTTCCACCCAACACCAAGCCTAGCGGACAATGGCTGCAAAGCCACATAGTTGAGGAGGGAGCGTTCTAGGATGCAGCTACATATGTTTTTTAAAACTTGGCCTATTATACTGACAAAAGATAAATGTAGCAACCATCACTCATAGTAACTAATGACCACGGATTCTGTCAACATCCCTCATGTACAGATAAGCATCCCATCTCTCAGAGGTAACCACTTCTCCTGCTGCAAGCTCTCAGGTGCAGTTTACGTGTCTCAAGTGTCCGCATTGCCCAGTGTCTGTTCACCCACGCTGCCTGCACTCCCTCCTCAACTGATTTTTGAAGAGTTCCCTAACTGATCTTGTCACAGAGGAGCAAAGAGTAGGAAATCCAAGGCTAGACTGCAGTTGGCACAGAAACAGCATCACTTTCCATCACTGAAGCTACCCGGTGAGCCTGCGCGTTTCGGGATGTCAGAGGCTGCCTGCGCTTGGAGAAGCATCAGCGAAGGACAAGATGGTGATGACGGTATAGTGTTGAGTCTTGACCCTAAAAGGATCCTCGGCCCTAAAATCCACTGGTCATCAAGGCTAAGCCTTCCCAGCTGAAGCAGCCTGGGAGAAATGCTTTCCACAGCAACAGAAAGGGAGCAATGGAAAGAATCAAGCTTGCTTGCTCTTCAGCACTTGGGACGCAGCTCTATGTGATACCTTGACCAGGATCTTGAGCGAAGAAGGACTTATCTACCTTAGGGCAAATGACTGAAGGCTCAGCCTTGTTTTCCATTTCTTCCATGGGATTTTGACATTGTTTTGGTCCAAAAAAGGTTTGGGAGTTATATTTCTGAGGCTTTTTTCCCAGTTGGCTACGATAAAAGCCGCGCGCTACTTCTGTCAGTACTCACGCATAAAACCAGTTCTAATACCTGACATGAAGTCGCTTGAGTTACGAGTGGGCAAAAGTATTTCAGACGATTCTTGGGAAAGTCAGAAACAGATTAACATTTCACAGCCCCAAAACTGATGGTTTTGCTCTCAAACTTTCAGAAATTGTGTTCTTGGCCTCTAGTGCTCCCGTGACATTTTAGGCCCAGGAGATTTGCTTGCACCAATTTGGAGAGGAATGAAAACTCAGGATTGAAAAAGAGAACTGATTTCACCTTTAAATTGCACAGTTCTGACCAGCAGCTCCATAAATACACTTCTGAGCTCAGCACTAAAACCTCTCGACAGCAAATCACAGGATGCAAGCAAGTCTCCCATGTATCCTCGTTTCTATTTTTTGTGTTTTACATTTATTCACTACATCTCATTGCCCTTTCCAAATGTAAGTGAAAAACCAGAACCTCAGATAGCACAAATTGTCAACTTAAACCCGCTTAGCATCTGGCCTGAAGAACTTCCAACATTTACATATCTGAACAAACGTTAAGAGAAAAATCTGAGCACAGTGAGATAAGGCAGTGTTGTTGGGCTTTGCCATTAGGGTTCAGTTCTTTATGCTTTTATTTGGAATATTACTTCATTATGGCGGTAGAGCAAGATGCCACTCAACTGAGTTCAGCCCAGAGCATAACCAAGCCCTAAGAGAGCACCACCTCTAATAAAGTAACCAGAGCCAGAGCCTGAGCCCATGACCAACCATGCTGTTATACTGTTATTATGATCCCTAACCATTTTACACCACCATCAAATAGTTCCCACGAGTGGTCCAGGGCTGAGCCCAGACCAGACCATCCATTAATATGGATGATGACTAAAGGGCTAATGGCCTTACTCAAACTACCCTCTGTTCATTCACACCCACTGCTGTTAATAACAGCTTCCTGGGGATAAAACCAGAGTAGAACAAAGTCTCATGGCTGGACAGAGCATCATAAAACTTGACCACAGGTGACTAAGTAAAGCAACATTTACTCAAGAACTCTCAAAATGCTTCTGCAAAACTTGCAGATACATCATTTGCACACTGGTTTGCTTTTTGCTGTATGTGATCTATTTTAATGCATGGTGGCACACGTACTTTTTTTTTTCCATTTTTATGTTATCGGGAGGTTTGTGCTGTTTTTCAAGACTTTTCGAATTGGTCCCAATGTTTCCTGATGTCCACCTTGCTTATTTTGACCGTAAGCTCTCTGATGCAAAGATTGTCTCTTCCCCACATGTATGTATTTCTTGGAAGGGTCAGAAACACATTAGGAGGACAAGGAGGTCTCCAGTTAACCTGGAGTCTCTTCGTGCCACAATAATGATAATACTTAGAAGCCAGACCTTCTTTTACGAATAGCCAGGACACTCTGAGATGCAAGGAATCACTTGTTGGAACATATATACCTTGTTTTGCAACTTCTTTTAAGAAACAAAGCTTTCTATCTGGACACACATGGAGCTGTATTTTTCTTGCCACCACCATTGATAATGGTAACAGTCTGCAGGCAATATCCTTCTTGCTATGCATCTGATTAGGTAGAAATTCCTCTAGGCTTCACCTAATCAAATGCAAGTGCTGCATTATTTATGAAAGAAAGCTGAATTTCATTAAAGTTATTCTACAAGAAGCAGTTCGTGTAAAAAAAAATCAATTTCTCCTTTCTTTTAGAAATCAGAATAATTTTCTTTTAAAACCTACATTCACAGGTAATTATAATAGAAGTCTTGAAACAGCAAAATTACTTTAAAAAAAAGAAACCAACCCATAAAAGTGTATTTTAAATCAGACTGGGATTTCTTTTCTAAAGAGAAGACAAGTGGGATGTTTCCTTGTTGCATAATGAATAATTCAAATGATTCCTCCAGTGCTGCATCTGCAATTGTCAGAATAAATTTAAGCAGCTTTCCCTTTAACTATTACAGGTATACACTGCACAAAAACTCCTGTTAGTAATTACCCCCACTTCTTTTAGGCTAGCAAAATTCCCTCTAATACCACTGAACAAAAGCCTTATTGACTTGCACCGTCAAGAGATTTCCAGTTTCACAAGAAGATGCCAGGCATAAAACATATACAGTCATCAAAATGCTGATGACCATTTATTTTGCTTTTTTTTTTCATGCTGTTATTACCTGAAACATTAGTTTAAAAAAAAAAATTGAGGGGTTTTGTTTGGCAACGTATCTGAACTACAAGACAATTTCCAGAAAAAAGAGAAAGGGAGGGAATTTGTTGTCATGGCTACAACCTATAATCCACCAAGAATTTTAATTCTTTTAATTCAGATCGAGAGAGACCACTTAAACAACTGGCAAGCTCTGCTCGCAGTCCTGCCTTTAAACAGCCCTTAGTCAGGTGCCAGAGGCATTCAGGGGGCAAAAGGCATTAATGTGACAACTCCCCACTTGCTCTTAAGAGTGTTATGTGGGGTTTGCACAGCCATCGCTGTGCGGGGGCAGAGAGCAACAGGGGATGGGGCCAGGCT